AAATCCACCAAGTTGTTTTCTGGTTGGTGGTTGAGCCCTACCCCTCTGAAAAATGATGGAGTGAGTAACAGTTGGGATGATGATATTCCCAATATGATGGGAAAGTCATAAAATTCCATGGTTCCAAACCACCAACCAGATCCATGATTCCCGAGATTGACACTACAAAAATTCATTTAAAACAATCCCCAGCATGTTTCACTCGTTTTCACGTCTGACTTTTGGACCCGCTGCCGATGGGAATCCATGCCTGGCTTCTGCGGCACCGCCATGGTGCGTGTGGTTCCACCGCTGGGCCTTAGCGGCGCGTTGTGTGGCTACCCGGCTACCCCATCCAGCACGTCCATGGGCTCCGGACCCATCGGGTCCCTGCAGTCGGCCCTGAGAGGTCACCTTGGTGCAGGAGATACCCGGCCTGGTAAACATAGAAAAAACGATGGAAAAACGCAATTTTTCATGGGTAAATCAACTATTTCGACTGGGCCATTTTCAATAGCAAACTGTTTGTTTACCAGAGGGGAAACCTTTGACGACTTTTTGATTTTTGAATCCACCCATCAAAATATCACCTGCTGAACGATGCCTGGTTTATGCACTATGGCTGTGGATATCCCTGTCGAGGTGATCGGTGAAATCCAGGCAGCCCAACCCCGGCAGCCGAGGATAAGAAACCATCTGCTGCAAGACCTATCCGATGGCGTTCCCAGTGGGTCACCCTCAAACCACACAGATTGCAAGGTCATCTTTAAGACGATCCTACTGGATTCCCAACTGATGGCAGGGCCAACATCCTAACGGCGTATGCCTGACTGATGAAAAAGTATTTGACACGCTTATTCAAAAACACCTCGAATCAAGAGGTTTTGCTCTCTGTCACCGAGATTTCCCCAGCCGGCAGCGACCTGCTTGATCCTCTGTGAGATCTGCTGTCGGCGACCTCAGGAAGTGCTGGGCTCCAAGGGTTGCCATGGGTTGAACAGTCTTGTTTCATGCTCGTCAATGATGTCAATGAGAAGACTTCTGTATGCAATTATGCAATTCATCATCTAATCCTACAAGTCCGTCTTAAGACGAGAGTTGCACAGATAAGTCAGAATCTTTCCAAAGCAGCTAAGTTATGATCCTCCCTTGTATCCCAGGATCAGTTTCAATGTGGCCAGCCAAAATGATAGAAACAAATAAGTAGTACTAAGTAGGAAAACCAATAATCCCAGTATCAAACATGTTCAAACAATGATTCAGTAGGAAGAACATGAGGATTGGGGGATCCATTTTTGGGCCCCCGAATCTGAGCTTCGCGCGGCGGTGCTTCGGGATCCGGTGGACTTTGATCCTCCAAGAGGATGACCAAACGAACCTGCGGCAGGAGCCATGCTTCGGAAGGGCTGTCTTAAAGCAATGGATATACAGCGGGGATATATATATATAAATAAATAAATATAAATATAAATATACATATATACATATGTATGTATGTATGTATGTCAGTATGTCAGTATGTCAGTATGTCAGTCAATGTAACGTAACGTAACGTAACGTAACGTATGTATGTATGCATGTATATATATATGCTTACATCATATAAATGTAAATATGACCAAATCAGAAAGGAGCCACTGGAGGTCTTCACAATGTGACACTCTTTTGTGGTCGGAAAAAACATCGGCTCCGGACCTGGTTGCCGGATCGCGCACGAAGATCCCCAGAGACGGGATCCTTCACCAAGGTCGTCACGCCAGGGATGCGTTCCACGAAGCCCTGGCGGAGCGCTTGGGGAACAGGACAAGGTGGGTGCCCAGTTAGGGGTTTATAAACTTTATAATTCACATCATAGATATATCATAGATATATCCACCAAAAATCCCTAGTGAAATTGGAGTTATGTTCAACAACCATTGTGCTGGCGCAAAAACTGCCTGAAGATCCGCAAGTGCATCGTTGTCCAAGCGGTTCCTCGAGGTTCCAGAAAACATCGGCGGATCATCAGTTGGGGCGAACTCTTAAGTCATGGGGAATCCCCAGCGGTCACCATGGTAACGATCTAATGACTGGATGATTTGGGTTTACCCCCATGACTTAGAACACCTCCATATCGACTTTCAATATCCTTCAGATTGATATCAAGCACGCCATATGCGTGGCTACATTGGCTTCCAAAGCTGGATTGTTATCTTGGACAGCTCGCAGCTGGCTCCTTCTCAGGTCCAGCTTGGTCAAGTACGGGCACAAGTCCATCCTGGCCAAATCCCATTCTGTCAAAAAAAAGGAATTCAAAATAATTCAGGGGACCTTTGATGTGCTAACTTCAATTTTTCCTCAACTTCTTCAACATATCAACTTCACAACACACTCCACGAGGTCTTCCTTGGCAATTTCGGCCTTCAAGAATGCCCAAAACTAGCAGTCGCATCGAATTGGTTGAAGTTAATTTTGAAAGGAAAACCTGATATATCATGACAAGAAACATGGCTTTTAAAGTATACTAAGCCCCAAAAGGATTCAGAAAAGGTTCAATCTACCATTATTTCTGGAATCTAATTTTACTAAAATCGATCTTTCTGGTGGTTTTGAAGCAGCCCATCAATCTTCACTTTCCAAACCGCAGCCAACAGCTGCCAAATCATGGCTGGCAGCACAGCTCGCAGATCAGTGGCACTGCCGTTTTGTCCAAATTGTTGTCCTCGCCGAGACAACCATATGGACAAAGGGCAAAGGAATCCATCGATTCCAACAAAGTTATGGAGTGGAACACTCTATTTTGGAGGATGTAGATATGATATTTTGTGCGATATATTCGAAACAATTGGATACTGCGCTCTTGGTTTCCTGGAGCTATGGTGCGCTGGCAAACTTTTTGGGGCACCCCCTAACCCCCAACATTCCCAGTCCTGCAATCGGATCTCTTTCACCTTAAACGCCAGGGCTTGCCCCGCGATGCTCACGACTCTTCGGGCAGCTCGGTTCACCAAAAAATGGATGGTACCTATCTCCAACCCTTGGGTCAGCCCCGAAACTCTTTGCCCGCAAGGTGTGCCCTAGGCCCCACCCTCCATGACCTGAGGCTCCGACGTTTTCTTCCTTCATGTAATTCTGAATCAACTTCTTGAGCTCTCCAATCTCCTCAGCTGAAAATGTGGATCCCTTGGATCCCATGGATCAAGCCATCCGGCCTTGTTGGAATATTGGAGGCCATCCAAATAGAGGGCATTGCCTTCTTTGATGCTGGACTTGTGCCCCTTGACGCTGCTCCTGGACAATCCAACGGACAACGTAGGTGGCACTATCTCTTGCTGTTTGAAGCCAATATAAATCAACATAGTTGCAAGGAATTTGGAGAAAAGAACTTCTCAATCCAATTCAAAAAACCTTGGCTTGATGCAACTCAAATGTGACTTGCTCCCATTGCAGGGGACCTCATCTCGAACTCGTTGGATGCAATCTTCAACAAAGCTCGCATCTGGCAGGTGCACAGCATGGAAGCAGAGTCGTGGAAGTGGTGCTGATTTCAAAAAACAAACTGGATAGATCATACAAAAAGCTGGGAATAACTGGGTCTGAAAGAACTTCAAAGCAATTTGTGATCAACATTGATTCCCAAGTAGAACAAATCATCCATTCCTTCAAGACAGCATCGCTTCCATCATAATCGATCCATTCCCACTTGGGGAGTGGCCAGTGACCATCTGCGAGAGGCAGCTGACTATTGGTGGTTTGAATTATGAGTTGTTTGTCATCATTTCTATTGTTAAAATCCCTAGAAGTTACCCAGCAACCATCAATATCCACTAAGTATCATACCAATGACATCTCATTTTTAGAGCTTTTTACTTGCTTACTCAACCAAGCAAAAAATAGGGGGCTTAAAAAACAATGGCGCCCATGAAAGCAGCACTAGCCGTCGCCTTCCAGGTCTCGCACATCTGGACCTTTTCGTACAAGTTCTTGTTCTTCTCCCGCAAGCCCTGGGTGCCAGGGCCGAAATCGCGAAAGGTCACTTGGAAAGCGTTGAAATAATGGGCTTGAACATTCTTATATGTATACTAAAAATATATATACATATATAGATATAGATATATAGATATATAGATATATAGATATATAGATATATATATAGATATACTATATCTATATACTAAATGTATACTATATCTACCATCATTTTGAGTGAAAAAGAAGGGCGGTCCAATGAGTTGAAAGCCACCTGGTGATCGCTTTCAAAAATGATCCAAACTTCCCATTCGAATTGAAGATGCACCGATGTACCTACCACAAACACTAAAGCATCCAGAAACCCTCCGGTGAAGTGTATCTAACAGTGGTTTGGGTTAAAATCCCACCATTGACGAAACCATGAATCACTTGACGGGCCTGAAGCATGGAGTTGGATCGCTGCAAGTCCTGACAAATCGCTGCATGCCTACTTCAGCAAGTCCGAAAATGGGGGATTCACCCCATTTTTGGCCATCTATAGGGAACATTCTGATGAATTATGGGGTTTTGAGGTTTTCCTTATAATTTCAGAGAAAGCCGCACAAGCATCAAGTTCCAACCGCAATCCTTATCTCGTACATGTCGTGTGCATCTCTGTTGCGCACCTGCAGGTACATGTCCGACTGCACTTGCGTGGTATGCAGCATCTCCAGTAAATGGGAGATTTTCTCCACCAGCATCGGCACTGGATTTCGTGCCTGCCAAAAATGCCAGCAGCATCAAAAAGTCAAAATAGAAAACGAGACCACCTGGTTGGTGGTTGAGCCTACCCCTCTGAAAAATATGAAAGTCAATGGGAAGGATGACATCCCATATATGAAATGGAAAAAAATGTTTGAAACCACCCACCAGCCACATATATTGGGGAAGGATTCTTTGAGTTAAGCCTCTTAAGCTTGGCAGACAATTTTTGTGAAGAACGCTACTTTAGAGATGTCATGAACTGGGTAACTGGGGCAAAACACATTTCCTGCTTGGCTGCCTTGAGGATTGTGGGGAATATTGGCTGGGCCGTGGCGACGGCAGTTAAAAATTGACCATACATATTTGCAGTTACAAGCATACCATCGCAAAGAAACAGTCATCATGTCTGCCTCGTATCCATAGTTTTGCTCAATCATGTTCAATCATCTTCATCTCAGCTATTGAAAATGGCAATTTAGTTCGATAATTATGATAATTTACCTATCAAACTGTGGTTTTTGCGGGGTATTTTTAAAATGGCGCCAGCTGTTCGCTGCAGACCTGCTGGGAGCTGTAGAGGAACTCATTGATCTGGAGTCTCTCGATGAGCCTCGAGAGCGCGGGAAACAAAAGTTGCCATCAATCAATGGGAATATCCCAACAAAATATGGCCTTATATGGTACAGTACCTCCATTTTAGGATCCTGAAATTCCCATTGAATCAACTGAACCCACTTAGAGTCTCTGGACTTTTGCGAAGGAAGACTCTGGAGAAAACTTTAGAAACATGAAAACAGACCTCATCAAGGGGAAGGCCAAATCACAATTTGGTGAATATTTTCGAAGGCGCAGCGCCAAGCAACTTCGATTCAGACTCAATGAGGATGGGCTTGGTACGACCAGTTTCATCCAGCATATCCTGGCTGTGGCTTTGGGAGCTCATACTGACGTGCAGCGTTTTTCCACAGCTTCCCGTGCACAGAAAGAAATACCTGCAACTACACAGGAATATGAATGCGAACATATATCAACAATATCATCCCTTGCATCCCGTCCTCTCGCTTGATGTAGTCAAGCTCAGCCTTGACAGCCACCTGCAATGTGCAATGACTCAAGTTGTTGACAGATTGGGTGGGAACTGACTGTGAGACAAATATTGCAGCAACATGAACCATCTGGGATAAATGGTCCTCTCGTACTGTTTGCAAAAGTGTTCATCAGCAATTTGCCTCTGAAAACATGGAAATTGACAATTGCACGACATGATTCCTTTCCCATTCTGGCTATTCATACATTCCAAAGCCCAAAAAAACCCCAAACCATCAAACTCCTAGACACTTCCGTTGTTTTCTTTTGCAAAATTCCGTTGATTTCCCACCTTTTCGGCTTCAACTTCATTGAAGCGATCCTCCACTTCGACACCTCGGTTTGGCACCCATTTCGGTTGTCATCGGGTTTACCACAGATGTTTTCTGTACATCTCAAATCGTGGCCAAGATTTTAGATTTCTACATCAAACCAGGATTAAAACCTTAGGTTTTCGATGGTTTTTTCCCTATTAAGATTGTATCTTTTGGTGCTATGCCCCCTTTTAATATATACACAAGTGCCATATTAAGTTGGTTATACATTCCACAACATATCCCAATAATAACTGCTTATACATCCCCAAAACTATGTCGGCTAATTCCATTGCGTCACAGTTCTAGATGGTGAAATCAAAGTTAAAGCTAGGACTTAAGCGTTTAGTTCATGTTCGTTTTAACTATGCCCCAAAGATTTTCCAGATTTTCTTCGTTCCATGGAATGAAATATCAGTTGTAAAATTTCAGCACTCAAAAGCTCCACAATCCACTCCAAGTGACGCTTCTGTAGGAGCTGGCCGTTCACCGCAGTGGCCTTCAACATTGATCCATGGTGTCAACTGGGTAGGACTGGGGTTACTATAAGATGGCTATAAGTTATAGACCATACCAAATCATGTGACCGACCGCAACATATCATAGAATCATATCCATGCCGCCCATGGCCCAAATCATTGTTGAATTCAAATGATCACACAACACAGCGTGTCACATGTCATATTAATATTAATAGTCATGAGTCATATGATGTACTGTGCCAATTCAAAAAAAATATATTGATCATAATAATATCATATCATGTTTCAAATTCCATTTGCCGATGCTGCCAATACTGCACCAGACAAGAAAACTTCATTGCTTGTGGTATGATTTATGCTAAGCAATGATTCAATGGGATGTCAAAGCAATGGGATGTCAATTCAATATAGGGGATCCCAGTTTGGAATCTTTCTGGGGGAGACCAATGAGACAGAATTGGAGACAGGGCAGCACGTCAGAGAATGACATGTGATATGATATGGTGGTAGGATTCTTCGGGGGAGAACCATAGAAAGAAAGATGAGCTGACACCAACTCCAAGCCACCTGGTAAAATGTCAAGGAAAAGAGGACCACACCAAATGGACTGATGAAATTTCTTACCCAGGCTCCGAAAAGTTCATGTCATTCTGGGCTATTTTCCTGGTGTTTCATTTTGCTTCTCTGATATGTGGAAATCCATGATTTGGCTGTTACAAGGCCGGGGCACCTTCACCATGGGAATCTAAAGTGGAAATCATCGGGATGTAGTAAATGTAGAGGGATAGAATGGGGATATGATGGAAAACAAATGAAAACACTGGGATCAATGGGTGTAATGATGGGATTTGAAGACCAATTCCATGAACCACGCTCCATCAGGAATCACCATGAATGATCCAATTCTTTGTTGGGCCAATGATCTTGACTGATGCCCATTTCAGTTTCTGAATCTTGTGTCCCTTTCTCCAGTGGCCAATGAATCCGTAATATCAAGAACAGAAAGTGTGAACTGTGCTACAAACCTGTAAGCAATCCCATCTTTTGTTTTTCTTAAACTTTTGTTTTTCTTAAACGGCAAAGGCGGTGCGTGTTACCATAACTTGGTGCTTTCAAACCTAGTAACATGAAAAGCATGGATCAAATCATCTTCCAAACTCCGGACGAACACTTTGAAAATAAGAAGTGAAACGGATTTAGCAGATTTCCCAACAGTATTTTCAAATTATGCTTGGTGATGTTTCATATTCTGAAAACACCTCCCCTTGATGCTGTCCGGCTGGCCTGTCGAAGCTCATCTTCAGTTCTTCTTAAGTCATACCTGAGCGTCGACATATGGGGATCCATCGCTGCTCTGTGGGCTCTGGTTCCATTTTTTGGGTGAGAACTGGGATAAACATTTGGATAACCAGGATATATATATATATTACTATTATATATAGATATGTATATATAGATATATGGTTATAACCAGGATAACCAACACCACACACTTTTACAGCGTTTCCAACTTCTAACCGTCTGCCGTTTCTTTGTTTTTCCTGAGCCATTCGTCGCCAGGGATTCCATCCCGCCTGAGGGCGCCCTTGTCCTCCTCGTTGCCATCGATACGCCTCAAAGGTTCAACTGGGAGTTAATTCCTGAATTTGGAACAATGAACATCTGGTAAGAGACTCGAAAAACCACACACACTTCTAGGGTGTGTGCAGCTGCTTTGAATACGCAAAAGCTCAAGGACTCTTGACATCAATCAGCAGAACAAATCGCCGATGTTCTCTCGGATTCGCTTCATCATAATTACATAGCCAACAAGAAAAGGAAACACATGCAATAAACTTGTGGTGAGGAAAGATTCTCGGAATAAACATACTCGCAGTTCCCTCACTATGGTATTTGGGTAATAAACCTGGGTCAATGGAAGATCCCGTTCTTGGATTCTCTTCTGGATGTGAAACATGATTTTCAGTTTCTTCTCGACAAACAGCGGTGCACCCAGTTCTAGCATTGGGATATCCCCCGAGCCACACTTCCAGTCTCCACCAGGAGCATGCCAGTGACAATCCAGCTATATCTGGGATAAGCCCCACGTATATTTGGATTACACAGAAGTCGTCACGATTACACAAAAGCGTTGCCTAAGTATATGAACTCCATAAGTCGTCACCCCAGTTGTTTTTCTAGGTCAGTTTTGAGCTTACCAGATTTCGCATCGCTTGCTAGGTTGTCCACCAGATGTTTACACCCCCAAATCTATCATAGAAAATTGACAACGATGAAATCTGGAAGATGACTTGAACAGATCTGTTTCACTCAATTCTGGTTTCTATATATCCTGACCCTGGGCCTTCTGGTGGCCTGCTAGAAGCTTCCTGGAAGCCTTCTGGGCCCCTTGTGGAACCCTTCTGGGACCCTTCTGGGTGCCTTTTAAGGGCCTTGGCAATCTTGGTTCTATCTCCTAAAAAAAGAGGGGTGTAATCTCCATTTTACCTCTAACTTGGTGGCTCAATCCCTCAAAAAACTCCATCAAATGGATATGATCATAATAAATATCATTGTTTGTGTGTATTTTCATTGTCATTATCCCTACTAATTGTGAAATAATAATTGAAACATTTGGTACACTAGTTCATTATTTTCATCACCATCATTGTAACTAATTAGTTATCACTAATTACTACCATTATTATTTCCTGTAAACGGGTTATCCCCATAGTTTATCTTTTGGTAATACAATGTAGCGAACTGGAACATCAGTTTTAAGAGCTAAATCATGATTCTTTATCAACTGTAAATGGTCCATGGCTTCCAGTTTGCAAACTGTTAAATAAGCCGAAGGTATGATGAATGTGGGAACCCCAATGCCATGTTTACCATCCCCAAATGGGAGGTGTTATGATTGGGTTTACCACAGATGGTGGATGAATCCTCCATAATCCTTTATAAAAATGGAGGTGATCTATAATTTTGGGATGGGTTATATAACCATATCTATAGTTATCTATAGTTTTCCTCTATAGGTTATATATAAATGGTGGATTATCCCCTATAGTTATGAGTAGTTACAGCTCATCCCTTCCGCCATGGCACGTGCCCAGGTAGTCATTCTGCGTCTGCAGGGCTTCGGTCTTCTCTTTCAGCTCTAAGAGGCGTTTCTCCACCTTGGAGGGGCAACCCCTGGTGGTTGCTGGAGATACCATGAAAAACTGGTGCTTTGACATTGAAAACCAACGTGTTTTGATGTGTTTTGAACAGTGAAAATTGGGACTTCACCATGGAATCCATGGTGGTTTAACTAGCAAACATGGGCCTTGACGATGAGAAATGACGATTTAAGTGACAAAACGTGGGGGTATTTTCAGCAATGAACATAGGGATTGAAATCAGAAAGGCTGGTTCCAGAAGGGAATCGTTAAAACGAGAAAATGATTGGGATTTCATGTGAGAAAATGGGAACATTCTCTTGACATCATGGTTGATAGTTCTACTTGTAATATCAAGCCGCAGGAATGATGGCTACTTGATGGTTCATTGTTGGGGCCTGACATCACCGGGATTGTAGAATCTGCTGGGCACTATGGGTCAGGAACCAATCCCGATTCTCAACAGAATAGGCCATAAATACCAATTATACTGGTGAACTGCAATCATTGTGGAAGCTTATGCTGGTGCGAAGATAGGTCTCACATGGGTGGTGAAAATGTGAAAGCTATAAACATGATCCAAATGGGAGCTTAAGGCTTGACTCCAGGCAACCCTCCAAAAACCCTGGGATGCGGCACCTTTTCCTGCGCCTTTAGCGCGAGTTGTAGTGCCTCTTCCAACATCTTGTTCTTCTTTTGCAGCAAGGCCTGGATTGGACTTGGGAAACGATTTCGAAGCTCAACTTCAACTCCTGTAGCGACTTGATATTTCTGGCACAGAGGTTGGATGAAAATAGATCCAACTAGACTCTTATACCCAATTTCTCCACACATATTCCCATGTTTTCATCCCTTCCGAATTGGTCACGCCTGCATCTGGGCAGCATTCCGGGCTTCCGCTTCCGCGGACAGCTTCGCATCCACCTGGCATTTTCCAGCGGAGCTGATGACTGCGGCATAGCCAACCAAAATCTGGGATGTCATGCACCAATGAGTTCAACATAGCCTTTTCTGTTGAAGTCTTTTCAGGCTTTCTACAGCAGGGGGCTTTGCCAAAGCACTCTCCGAGAACGATCCTTCAAATCGAAACCAACTTGCATCAAAAAGGGTACCCCAAATACAATTCATTATCAGTTTTTCACATTTTTCATTTAAATTGCAACTTTGGGCTGTGCACTGGAGAAACCAACTTCTTGCTGCCGATTTTTCAAGCTCGCCTCCATCTGCAGCTGCTGTTGAAGATTCTGCAGCCGCTCCGATGGAAAACGGAACACCCGGTAAAATTTCCGGTGGCTTATCATCATACACTGTGGGGCCCCCTAGGTATGTATAAGTTGCTTCATAAACCCATATAAACCCTATTACCTATAGTTGTAAGTACCATAAATCATGGTTAGAGTTATTGGCACCAACTTAGCTATCGTAAACGGGGGCCCCACATCATAAATGATGTGCCCCCAATTAAAGTTCATTGGGTGTTTCTCACCGAAGTTTTGATGCCTGTGAGTCCCAAAAAAAATGACACCGAAATTGGCTTGAAGGGAGTGCGTGATCACAGATCTGCATGATTCCCATAATTTCAAGCCAAATATGATGAGGAGAAGTTCAAGTACCCTCTGGTAAACTAACATAACTATGGAACATCCACTATAACTGGCCAAGTATGATCTTCTCATTGACCAACAGTCGGACCAACAGTGATTTCCCAATGGATTCACTGGATTCACCACGCGTCCTGCGATTGCTTCTCCAAAGAGCCGATCTTCTTCTGCCTTAGAAATTTGAAGAGTCTTATCCAAAGATATTCCTGTCTATGAATGATCTATCATCATATTCATTATATATATGTATACACACATAAAAGTATGTATCTGGATATTTTCTGTACATAGAGGTATAGAAACAAGGATACAACATGCATAACTATCATGCGACATGTGTATATGTATCATGATGGGGAGCCTTTGCCATGATCCGGTTTTGGGCGGCTGACATTTCTGCGCGATTTTCATAATCTTAAGTTCTCGGACATCCTGTGGGATCCCTTAAACATCAGGAGTTGCAGCATCTGAGTATCTCGCAGTATGGCTTTTCCATTTGGAGGTTTCCGCAGTCATGTGGGTATCCCCAAAATCATCTATTTTCGATTGGGATTTTCCACTAACCATCCAGCTATTGGGGTCATGGAAAATTCTGAGGAACACCATGGATTGCCTCTCGGTGCCCGAGCTTTTCCACACCTCCCGCCTCCGTCTTCTTGAGGTCGGTCTCGGATGGACCATCCGAAATGACCAACACGTAACGAAGATTCTTCAACTCATGGGTTTTCCATGTTTTCCATAGCTTTTGCCACTAAAAACTGCTCGAAGAAAAAATCGAGATCACTAAGATCGGCCTGATGTTGTCGCAGTTGATCCATCAACGCATAGACCTTGTCGCCCAGTTGCCTGCACAGGGTCGATCTGCGAAACCGTCCCAAACCCATAAAAGCCATGAGTCAATTTGGATTAGAATCCCAGGTAGGATTGAACCAACAAAAAGGATACCACCAACCAGTTATGTAATTCATTGGAACCAGCATCTTGTTCTCTAGACGTCTTCTATACCATGGTTAGTGGATGGTTGGCATTTCGGCACAGCTTGAAATGACCGTGCAGCGCCTAAAATTGTCAGAGCCTGCTTTGTTCTCTTCCTCGCGGAATCACAGGCGGAGTGGTGACCATCTTGGATCCATAAATCCCGTTGAAGTTGGTTCAACCATCACGAGCCATGAAAAAAAGCTATAAACCATCGATTACTGTAAGAATCCTCAGGGTAAACATTCTCTAACCCTGGATATCTGGTTGATGAGATTTATGTGGAAGAACTTCCATTAAACCAGAGAGCACAACCCGAACAACGAACCAGCAACGAACCATCATTTGAGGTTCTCTCCCCATTGTGTGCTTAAATTCCCCTTGACTCGTGGTGAAATCCACATCAACCAAGAGTTGTCGATAACAGTTTAACCCCCTATGCATAATATATGTATATATGTATATTTAAGTATGTATGTGTGTATATATATATACATATTATATATACATATTATATATATATATACATATTATATATATACACGTATATACATATTTATCCCATCATCAGAATGAATAAATCAAGAAATCAATTGACAGCTCAAGAATCACAATCACCCCAAACAAAAAGACACAGAGCAGCCACGTCGCTCCGGTCCTGCATCCGGGTGTTCTGTTCCTCAGCACCTCTCAAGGCTTGCCGTAGGGCATCCACCATCTTTTCCAAGCCGTCCTGGCAGGTTGCCATGGGGAAAAACCTTGGAAAAGCCACGATGGCGCCATGGCTGTTTGAAACAGGTAAAACCACCAAAAACGATGGCGCCATGGCTTCCATATGGCTTCCATATCATATATCTATGTTAGTTTACTGCAGGGTACAAAAAACTGGGAAAACAACATGGGATTGGACCAAGCAAACTCGGGGGTCAGGATGGAGGTTGATGGACGTTGAAACTCCGATCAGCAGCAAAGACAATGGAAAGGTGGTGGGCATTGATTTCATCCAGGAAACTAGCATGGCTTGCTGGATAATCCCCCAAAATGGATGACTATCCTATAACAATGGTGTTTTTCCGTTGCGAAAATGGTGCGGAATGGTCCTTTCTTCTCTCGACCTCTGCTTTGCTCTGCCTCGGCAGCGCGGAGCAAGTTTCATGGAGTATTCGATTCTTGGAAACTCCCAATGTGCTAAGCCCAATGATAAATGGGATAATCATGGGACAATTCTGGGATGACTAGGGGCACAACTATAGGAATTGTTGGGATAATTATGGATGATTGGGATTATAATAAACCATCCCCAGATGGTAAATGGCTGGCAAGTATCATCCTCAAATGGTGGAAATGGCATTGGATCTAGCACATATTCTTCAATCCTTGGTGTCCGACATCCACTTGTCGCGGTTCTCCGCGTCCATGTCGAGCTGCATCCTTAGGATCTTGGTGAACGTAACTACGTAACTGGGGTTAGGGAACTACCATTTGAAAATGGGATAATCCACGAAATGGGGACTTTCCAACCAGGGTTAAGCGAGGCCGTGGAAGTTGAAATTCACCTTTCATCCTGAAACGCAACATAGCACAATTCTTGTATTTGCACCTTCGATGATTTTCTCTGGGTCTGATAATATCCAGTTCCAGGCAACCGTTGGTCCGATTCCAATCCATTTTGCAAAAAGCAAAAATCTGAGCTTTCTATTCTTTCACAATGAAGTCTGAAAGAACAAACACTTTGACTGGAATCCCTTCATAACTTTAAAACATAGGATACACGGTACACGTTGCGATTTGTGCAAATTCCCGCTATTTTCCAGGTCTAGCAGGTCACCAGGACACCATTTCTACACATCCAATCCATCAACTGGTTGGTGGTTGACCTACCATTGCGGTTAATATTAATGGTTATTATATGGTTAATGATGGTTAATAATAATCTGGTTGGTGGTTGACCTACCCCTCTGAAAAATGATGGAGTGAAAGTCAGATGGGATGATTATTCCATTCCCAACTGAATGGAAAGATAAAACATGTTCCAAACCACCAAGCAGATCAATGATCTGCACACGCCGTCTTGAAAGTCAATCGTAGAAGACCCATTGAAAGGCCCAAGATCTATTCATTTCGGCGGCGTCATGTTTCTTTTTGTGATATGCTAGGGGGATGGGATTGCCAATCCTTATCCACAGATTGATGATACAGATGATTTACTGTCCATTATCTATCATCAATTATCCATCATGAACCATCATGAACCACTATTATCCATCATTAACCATGATTAACCATCACTAACTATCATTAACCATCAAACCATCATGAACCACTATTATCCATCATTCAACACTATGAATTGTCAACAACTACAGTATATCCATTATCCATGGGTGAAATCTGAATGGTTATTGATCCATTAAAATCACCTTTGACAACAGCATCATTCACCATTGACAATTATTATATAAACATTATTATAACCATCATTAACCCATCATCAACATTCATCAGCCACCATTAATTCATATGAATTCATATTACTTCATTATCATTCCTTATATAAGCCATTAACCATTCATAGCCCAGCTTCCTGGGAAGTTCCCCGCCCTGTCCGCCGCGGCACTTGATGCCCTTCTTCTGCACCGTCAACTCGTCCAAGGTCTCCCGCAGCCGATTGATGGCTTCTGCCAAGCGATGCTCAAAGACCTGGCAGGATGCCGCCAGTGGTGAAGCGATGCTCAGTGTCCCTGGAAATGGAAAGTAAATGCAAAGTAAAAATGGAGAGTATCTAATGGAAAATAAATGGACAATGGAACATAGGGAAAGGAAATGGAAGGTAAATGAAGAGTGAACATGACAACATCTAGGAAATGGTGTTTCTCCTGGCACAGGGCTATGGCCATGTCCTTCCCTGCCAAACATCTTGGGGAGAATCTCGGCTCAAAAATTTGGTGGGGAACAGTTTCCGGTTCCAAGGTTACCTATATTGCCGAGGTGTCAAAAGCTGGCGAGCCATCCCAATGAGCGTGTCCAACGAGGGAAAAGGGATTCTGATCCACTCCATCTTGGGGTGCCTGAGTTACAAATCGACATGGTCCTGTGTCAATCTTTTGGAGCCGTCCAAATTCTTGGAGAAATCATTCACTGGAGAGCATCAATTACAAGATCAACTTTTGGACCGTTACAGAAACTCTCAACAGAAATAACAACTGGAGAGATTCACAAAGTGTCCATTCGCAGGAAAAGCCAACCCCTAGGGTTTGAGTCCTGGTTTGCTTAAAATCGTTAGCTTCTGGTAGACTGGTTGAAGTTGAATGCGCCTCAGTCTCCTTTTTTCCACCTACTGCGGAGTTGGGACGTGATCTGAGAGATGGGCACGTCCACACTGGGATACCCCAAGCACGGCCCAAGCACTGGGTTTGTCTACATCCTAGTCCCTCATGGCATTCATGGGCGTAACTTGGGTAAACCCGCTTCTGCTCCCCCCCATTGGCTTCCCGCTGACATCAAAAAACTGGTGGATTTTGGGGGGGTCCCAGCCAAGAACAATGCGACCTCATTGTGTTGGATCTGCTGCAGGTACTGGACATTCCTACAGCAGGTGCGGTGCATAGATCCGATGTGATCCACCAAACCAGGGGTCTGTGGATGGTATGCAGCCGCAAAGACATTGGGTCAGTATCCCCATCAAAATTGCGATCTTGCCAGTAAAACTGAAGCCTACCCTTCACCAGCCAGTTTCCCCAGTAAAATAGAAACACACATCCTGTTGAAATAGGTGGATTTTGAGTCTTGATCTGTTGGTAAGTTCCATCAACGGTGGCTTTTATAACCCTTCACCAAGGTTGCCACAGATCTGGTCAAACCATGCGTTCTTGGTAACATTGGCCTTAAATTCTGGCCCATACCAAACTTTGGCTGGGGTCACCCCCGCTAAAATCATATCAAGTTGATTGTATATCTGAGTAAATATCCCAAGTATATCACCATTATATCTTCAATATTTCTCCGATAACATCATCATTCATTTCCATTAAAATCACCATTGAAGTCCATAAAACCACACTTTTATCACCCAAGGGATGCTGCTGAGTGACATATCTTTGGAGTCCTTCAACTTCACCTCGAGAGCCTCGAGATACGGAGTTAGATAGAACAGACCATTGCTGTTGGAAGATACCATAGCTTAATATAGCTTAATATAGCTTAATATAGCTTATATCTATAATATCTATATCCACAAGTGAACTTTTAGGATGGTTAAACCATGTGAAAAACCACATTGAGACCCTATTGATGATTAAATCGCGTATGAGCTGAACCATGCGGTAAAGCCAATGGCATAAACGAGCCCACAGGTGGTAACAACCGTCCCGCACCTGGGGGTTTCTTATTGGGCTTACGACATTATAACTTACGTTCTTTTCCTGGGACTAGAAGTGCCCTTTAAAGCTGAATAACACAAATATTTTCGTTTATCTTCTGCATTTGTAACTAGTATATCTAGTATGGCAGACTTCCCGAGCCAGCTGGAGATTCATCAATGAAGTCACCGAAACCAGGACCCACGGAGCATCCACCCATGGCCCCGAGTGCAGTGCTTCGATGTCAGCTTTGGCTTGTGCGGAGAAATTCCGCTCAGCCTGTGGTGGCATATGGGTGGATTGCATTGAAATCATTGAAATCTTGATTCCAAGCCAAAACACCTCCTAGACTTTGCGTGAAAATCGCAACACGCTGTTGCAAAGTTCGTTTGCATCATGGACTGTTTAAACAACAAAACCGATTGTTTTTTCATGGCAATTTCCATAGGTTTTCCCATGTGAATCATGGACCTCTTTGAGCTGCCCGGTCTCGGATTGAGCATTTCGAAGCTCCTGGCACTGGCAACTCGGGGAGCCTACTCAGGTTCAAGACACCGGCTCCCCTGACGAGATTTTTTTTCCCTTTGATGAACTATCCCCTTGATAGGGAAACTGACCATGATTAAGCAGTTGAGTTTAGTATCTATGATATATCTATATATCTCTATATCTCTATATCTTATTTATTTATTTGTTTCTCATCATTTTTGGTGGTTGAACCCCCAAATTTCGTCAATTTTCCAGGCCCCCTTTCCACTGGCGCTTTTTGTCCTCCTCAAACTTGGCGATTTCGTTGTAGGCTCCCAGGAGCTGCTGGTTGCCTGTGGCCTTGACCACGTTGTAGTCGTCCGAAATCTTTTGCAACTTGGCCTGGCCGCCAGAAACCATGGGAGATGGTAAACATACCAATAAAAAACGTGACTGGGGGATTGTTCATGGATCCCCAAACGGTCATTTGGAGGGGTTTTTCCTCCATATCCATCAGACGCAAATTTTGAACATGGAAAACTACAGCAACATCAGCCCTGCAGAATCCCAGCACCATGTCTACATCGGCTGCTTGAGTTGATCCACTGGTTTTCTGCGGACTTTCCGGTGTGGAATTGGGTTTCCAAAACACATTTTCTTGGATCTTCTATTTCCACTCTTTTGCGGTTCGCAAATAGCTCAATGGTTTAGACATTCGAACAAGACCAAAATCATGCTGGGTACAACTCGAAATCTTATTGGACAATATGTTATTTCCACTTCATATCGCTTCCGCCCCACCGTTTTTGGTTGTCAAGGTTAAGTTCAAAACCCGATGTATGACCACAATGTTTCATATTAAACCCCCATTAAATCTCATCATTATTCCAATAAATCACCCCCCATTAACTACCATTAAATCACCATTAACTTACCATTAAACTAGTACGCCCCAACCCGGACGTTGCTCCACACTTACAATCATGATCATGATCATCATCATCATCATCATCACCACATCATCACCTCATCACATCTGTATTTTACCAGGTCAGCCAACAATAGTTACAATAACTAGTGGGGCAAGAACAAACCGGTAAGCACTCAGCTCTTTTGAACCAACGCTACAGAGTAGATCGATGATATATACACTACATGGTTTTACTGCAGGAGTTTTTACACCCCCCTCGGGCGAGCAGGGACGACTGCGGAGAACGAATAACCCAGAAGAGCATACCCTCGCGGGTAGCCAAATTTCTTTAGTTGGTTTTGATCATTTTTATGCAGTCTTTCAAAGGTCCCTATAAAAAGCTCAAGCCCGTAAAACCCAGCGCAGCTTTGCAAGGAAGGCACATTACCATGCCGCATCTTGCGCTATGCTACAAAAGAAAATCATCGTCTACCTGCGGTTCCAATAGATCCACCGGCCGCCGGCCTCGTCACGGTAATACCAAGCCCCACGCCAGAAACTCCATTCTCGGCGTGCACCATAGTGATCACGATTCCAACTCCAGGAGGCATCCGGGTGACCGGAGCTTGCAGCCTTTGATGTGACTCCTGTGCTTGCTGCTTTTGCAGTGGGCGGTGTCTCAGGCTCCAAGAATGGTCGCGCTCCTGCTTTGGATGTTGGTGGTTCGGGTGCAAGAAATGGTGCATTGTTGGGGTCAACTGGGGCATCAGCGTGCGAGGCATCTGCGCGAGCAGAGCTTGAGGCGGCAGTGTCATCATGTGTGGTGACGGATGCATCAGCTTCGGCTTTGCGTTTTCGCTCAGTGGTGGGCGCGACCGTGGGGTCGGCCTTATGACCTCCAGGACCTCCAGCCTTTGCAGCGGCGCTCTGCTTCTCTTTGCGTTCAAGGTTTCCCCGAACCAATGGAAGATTTTCCTCATACACCTTTTCGAGGAATTCAAGAGTGCCATCAAAAGGAACTTGGACAGTGCCCTTCCAGGTCAAAAGGCCACGGAATGCGCCACGACGACCGATGTAGCTGACATATTCATCCTCTGTAAAAATGTGGCGGCCGAACATGAATCCCCAGACCTTCTTCCATGTTTTGCGGAACTCAACTGGGAAACCATCAACACCTCGAGGCTGGGACATGAAAATCAACTTAGATAAGCAGTTTTCATTTTGGGCATTGGCGGCGACGCCAGCCGAGATCTGAGCTTTGGTCCTTGGGGGATCGGGGAGGTTGCCATATGCGAACATGTCGTCGAATATGCAGTCCTGCAGGTCCTTCCCCTCACCGTGGATGCGGTCGCAAAAAGTGACGTCGCTGGAGTATCTGTCTTCCACGTCCTCGTAGCCCAGCGCTTTTGCACGTCGATGCCTGTCGCGGCAGTCTTTGAGGACTGCTGATTCCACGGATGTGATTCCCCTGGGGCCCAGTTCCCGGCGAAGCAGATTGGCTTGCTCATCCGTCAAGGCTGTCAGCAAGCTTCCGCTCATTTTCCCAAACATTCCGAACCCGGCGAGACTTTGCATTCGCCGTTCAAGGATGCGTGTCCTCCTGTTGGGTTTGTCGGCCTCTTTTGTATCGCCACTTTCGTCCACTGGGAGTGGTTCATATCCACATGTGGTGCATGTCACTTGGCCACTGACGTACTCAACCTGGCAGAGGGGGCAGGAGCCCATGAAAGGTTCGCAGTACTTGGGTGCAATGTAAACACGGCGCGTCCTTGCGGGCGGCTGGTCAACTTGCATTGGGGCAGTGGCTGCATCATCATCAGTGGACTTGGCATCGGGTCGCCCCGTGCTGGTGTCATCCATTGGGTCGTCGTTTGCATCATCTCGGGCAGTCAGGGTGACCGCTTTGGATTTCGGTGCTGAGGCTGATTCCGCGCCTGTCCATGAGCTGGGCTCGAGATTGCTCTCGGCGCGGGACCAAAGCACCTGTCCTTCTTCTGAGATGCTGACCAGAAACTGCGGTGGAATGCGTTCTGAACACAAAATACCATCCATTTCTGTGCGACTAAAGATGACACCAGCTTCAACTGCTTGCCGCATTGCGATTTTGACTTCGACTGGACATTTTGCTCTTAATCCAGATCGATACCCCTGTGTGCCGATACAGTGTTCTGCCATGTAGATATGAGCACGGCCACTGTTGACTGTGTCACCGCCGCCTGGGATCAGGCCGTTCTGTGCGATGCTCTTCCAGCTGCTTCTCATCGTGCGATGGAAGACAACCTCAGGGACCTCAGTCATGGCACACAAGGGCACGCCAGTGAAGGCGGCTTTTCGCTCGGGGGATACTTGGTTTGAGCAATACACCATGGTTGAATTGGCATAAAGACCCCCTGCGGTTTTCAAGGCAGCTTCAGAGTGACCCTGAATTGCACGGATTTTCACAGGATAATACGGCATGCCTAGGCCATTGTCGACAGGAAAATGGGAGATCTTTGCACACAAGAATTGGAACCTACTCTTGCCATGCTTGTCGATCTTCATTGCGGTGCCAAACAGGTTTGCGACAGTGATGAAAACATCTGGGGGCACTTCCTTGCGGAAGGCTTTGGCAAAATCCTCCAAGTCAATCCAAAGGTCTTTGTCCATTGGCACCTTGGCACAGGATCCATGCCCCCTGCAAACTTTGTTGACACGAGTTGCAAAATCAGAAAATTTCTTGTCGACACGAGTCTGGCCAGCAATGGTCTCAACGTCGGATGCCGATATCAGCTCCAGCTCATACGCCGTACCTTCAAAGAGGATACCGGGCACATCGTCCCCGTCTGCATTGGTCACCATTGTATATTGGTATTCAGGCAAATGCTCTTCCATCCAATATGCTTTCACGTGGCCGGATGCATGTCCCTCTAAGCGCGCAGTTGCCTGCGGCTGGTACTGGCTGGATGTGGCTCTCTTGTCATCTGCGGGCTCATCCAATGGTACTGGCGCTGCTTTCGGCCGCGACTTCAACATGACCTCAGCCGTTTGGACCAGGATTGTTGCTCTGCTGGATGCAGCGGGCTCGCCGTCGCCGGCGGCCTTTGGAGGGTCATCTTTGGGAGGCTCAGCAAAAGTGCCCGAAGGCATCGTCTTGGTGTCGATGTAGTCCTCAGTGTCAGGTTGTTGAGCTTCGACGTCCTCCTTGGTGAATGACCTGCCCGTCGGCGTGATGTGTCTTCGGGACTCTCCAAAAAGCAACTTGGTGATGTTTGCACATGTCTCCTGATAGGATCTTGGCAGCTCGTCCAGGACGGCGCTCATGTTCCTCCGCAAATCATCCCATGTCTCCTGGCCACACTGAGTAAGCTCCAAACCAATTCGGCCAACCCGCCATCCGCAATCAATTGCGAAAAGGGTAGCTGTCCAATAGGCAGCAAGACGCGTGCGATTTTCTTCAGAGTTGGCGAAATGCCACTGGTCTCTGAATTCCATTGCATCGGCGTACCCCTTTGCTCTCAGCCACGGATACTTCGGATTGGCAAGCCCTTGCAGGCTGCTGGTTAGAGCTTTAAATCGGGGCTCCAAAACATCAAAGAACTGGTCAAAGATAGGATGGATGCCATAATCTGCGCTCCAAGGCGCGGTCGTGAGACCGGCCGACTGCAAATCCAACTCCCGGGCCTTGTTGACAAACCATGTCAAGTGGCGCTCACAATCATCCAGGATCGTGGGCCAGTGCCCGTTGGGGCCGTCGTACGGCCAATTTGGATTTTGGGCAATCCCATCCTCTCCTACCAATTCATTTCCGAACCAGGACAAATGCAGGTTGATGCGTGCATCAGGATAGCGCTCGCGGGCGTCCGCGGCCAATTCAATCCCACGCTTGACCAGCTTCTGCAGAGTCTTGCCCCAAAGCATCTCATGGATGAACTCAGTCACATACTTAGGCTTGCGCTGCCGGTAATGCTCGGACAGGTCAAACTTCTTAAGTGTTTTCCTACGCCCTGTGATCAATGCACATGACGAGTCAGAGACTAAGATCCAGATTACATCATTGACGGGCATCTCTGGCAACATGATCTTTTCAATGTGGGACTCCTTTGGCAAAAAGCAGAAGCTAAGGTATTCTGCAAGCGGATCCTCTCGACCGTAGAACCTCAGGGCCGAAGCCGGCGTCCATTCAGTCATCAGTCCATCCACGAGGTCCTGAGCAGCCTGATTCTCACCTTCATTGCGCATGGCCAATGCAAACAAAATGCGATTGTGAAGGAGCAACCATGCTTCTTTGTTAGCCTCACGTGTGGCTTCGAGCGCAGCCTCGCGGCTGGCCGGGTGTGCTGTGGCATATCGCGAGTCAGCCATTTTAGCAGGACAGGCACGAATGACAGCGGGTGAAATCCTTTTGGATGTTTGGCCCACCACAGCTACCCGGAAACACTCATGGAGCATGTCAGTCAACTTGAAGGTATAGTTCTCAGCAAGTTTAAGAGCTTTGCCCCTACTTTGATCATGC